CAGTGCCGGCCAGCCGAGCGCCGAGCGCCTCCCCCCAGGCTCGCTAAATCAACCGCCGAGCGGCGAAAGGGGCCGAGCCCCACCCAACGCCCGGGGCTGTATTTTATATCGGTTTACATCTCTCGGTCTCCCCTTGAGGGGGTTCTGGCGGGATTCCAGCTGTCACCTCGCTGTTGAAATGGCAGTCACTGCCACAGACAGTGCTGCGTTAACTGTTGGGGTGGTTACAGGCCGCCCCGCCAGCGCCCGCGCGGAGATGAGCCAAAATGACATCGGCTGATCGATGTCACGTAACAAAAGCAGCCCCAGGCCGACCCTCACCCTCCGCCCGGGGTAAGTTTGGGCTGAATGTCCTGTTACTGAGTTTAGGTTGAAATAGTCTCAGTAGGAGAGAGACGTTCCGTTTCCTGCCGAAGGCTGCTCGGAGCGGGTGGAGGAGTCACAGCACACGGTTAAGGGCAATGGCGTTCAGAGGGGAAACGGGGCCGGATTTATCCCGCCTGAGTTACAGTATCCATTTAAATAATTGTTTTTAATTATCGTGCCATCCATTTCCTCAAATGGCTGAATTTCAATTCAGGCAAAAGAAATTCTCCCAGAGTTCTGCAATGTAAAGTAGCACAGAAAAGGGGTTTTATGGTAATAAATGTAAAACCGTGAAGTATGGGATTTGTTAATGTCGTGGCACTTGACCCTTTCTTACATTAGTGGGTGAACCCATTTCTTCCACAAAACATGCTCTTGTCCCATCCCCACTCAGGGACAGATTGATGGGTTTTCGTTCCTAGTTCATTCAAGGCTTTTGAAATGCTGAAACAATGACAGCAAAACAAAGAAACTGGAAATAAATCCCTGAGAACTCTGACCTGTACCAGAGGGGCTGATTGTGGTTGGACTGTGCGTGTGCGTGTGTTTCATGAAAGCGAGAACTTCATCACAGCGTGGATTATCGCATGGATGTAATATTTCAGCAATATTTTAACATACTTTAAAACCACAAAGACGAGCTGATGTCGCCAGGATTTGTTCCTCAAGGCTTCTAGATTGGCAACTGGGCAAGGGGAGAGAGAAGAAATTTAAGCATTGAGATTCTTCTAGAAAACATCCCCTTATTACTAAGAATAAGCATTAATTTCTACTAGGATCCAACAGATTAACTATTCAGTAGCCAATTTCCTTTTTGGAGAGGGAGGGAGGAAGACCTTTTCCTTTTACAAAATACTTAGTCTTGACGTCTTTATTTTGGTTTAGTTTGTACAGGAAACTTCACTGCGGTTCTGATACTAAAGAATTCAAGTGAGGTTTTCTCCTAAAGAAATTCAAATTTCAAAAGCCACAGACTCAAGCATGCCTCTATTTTTAAGCAGAAACGTGAAAAGTGTAGTCACAAGTGTCTCACAAAAACCACATAATCCAGCTACATACAGCAGTTAAAATTACAACCGTAAACGGGTGCTGAGTGCCCCCGTTAATAACGAGATTCATCAAATATTCAAAGATAAATTCGACTGTCTGTAAATGAGAAAGTAAAATCGCGTTCCCCGCCCCCCCC